TTAAGTATTCACAGTTAATAACATGCACATTTGCAGGATTACCTCCATTTTCTGACTTCTGAGAGATATCAGGGATCTTCCACAATATCCTTTGCTGTTCAGCATTCCTAAAAACATATGAAGAAGAGCATTTCTGTAGGAAACAAGAAATTATGAAGGAGTCATTTGAATTTTGCTAAAGGCCACGTGGGCTGGGGGAGCAGCTCCAGTGCTGCTCTCCAGAGCTGCAATTCTGGGAGCTTGGCTTTGGGTTTGACCCAAGCAGGAAAACGCCGCTCTTGCATTGCAGGTGAGCAATGGGTGAGAGGCAGCGGGGCCAGGCCGGTCCCTGCTTCCCCACTGCAAACCTGCATGCCTGTGCCTATGGCAGTGATGGCCATGCATCCCTCTGAGCCCCAGATAAAAGTAGCCAAAACACAAATAAGGGTTGTTATTCTGCTGCCCGCACACATGCATTCATCTCTGACTGCTTGCTTGTGGGAATGGCAAGAAAAGAAATCAGAGTGGGGTTGCATGCTTCCTCCTGCAAGAGGAGGAGAGGTTTGGGTCCCCAGCATGCCCCCAGCCCCTGCCTGCGAACACCTCCTGAGGGCGATCCTGCTCCTGCAGCCGGCAGGCAGGATGGCTGCTTTAGGCAGGGACATGGCAGAGATAGCAAACGAGCTCCTCGTCAGGTGAGCGATTCCTACCAGACAGCAGGAGGAAGCACAGCTTGAAGTTTGTTTACTCCTCCATCGACGGGGATGAGGAACTGGACGTTGTTTAGAGCTACCGGTGTGGTCATTGCCTCTGTATTGTATTTGTAGTCAATGCGGAGGTCAGTGCTTGCAGGGTCACACCGCCAGCTCACTGCAAGGTTTAATGGAGTAGACTGAATACCCTGGGCAGATACCTTCCAAAATGACAGAAAAAACATTTAGTTTCCATAGGGGTGAAGGGAGAAATCCCATTTTACAGACGCGGTAATTGCATTTGGTTTCAGAGGAGACAATACCTTGTATTCTCATAGAAAGTTTGTACTGGGCTCAAAATCAGGCAATCTAGTGACATACAGGAGGGACTAGTGGGATAGCATGCCCCCACCTCCTATTATCTCCACTCTGCACTGGGGAAATACCGTCTTTTACATCTACAAGTTAAACACACATTTCTGGCACAGTTTTGTCTTACAGAAAAACCCCTACCTGGTATTTGAGCATATCCACATTGTAATAGGTGGCTTGCGGTTTCTGTTCCGATACCTTCTTTAGGTGAGTCATCAGATTTGGCATGTTGACCCAGAACTCCTTCGTGTTGGCGTCACTCTGCGTGTTGTCACTGCACAGAGGGAGAATTAACCCTTTGCGTAAGCCGCCTCGGCAGAAGAAAGCTTTTCTACAAAGCACGCAGGACAGCAGTGCTGGCCGCCAGCTGAGACCACATTTAATCCCACATTTAGAGAAATAATTGCCTCCCTCTCATGCATCTCTGGCTTGTCCTCAGATATTTCCAGGTAGGCACAGCAGGTGCAACCCGTAGGTCATCTCGTTTTGCAAACAGGAGGTCTAATGAGCAGAGCGAGGCACAAAACAAGGAAATCCCAGCGAAGCACTTGCTCCTCTACTGATGCTCTTCTGCCTGGCAAAGGGGCTACTCTCAGTGGGAGTACTCTGGCAAATATTTAAGGGCTTGAGGGTTTTCTTCCCCAAATCAGGGCAGGCTTCCAAGGAAGATACTGAGGGCCAAGTGTTTTTGCAAAGCATCTTACTTTTCTGGAAAACCCGCCTTCCTTTGGGATGCTGGCGAGGTGAGGGCTTACCAGCAGAGGAGCTGGGGGTTTGGCAGGACGTGCTCCAGCCTGTTGTAGTTCAGCACACGGAAGGTGAGCACTGCCGGAGCGGGGTTGTTGGCAAAGTGTCGGGTGATGCCCGCTGGAAACGACAGCACCATCTCCCCCGTGATCTTCACAATACACCTGCAGCGCCAGATACAGAGACCGAGGGGAGAGGAAACGGGAGGGCTCAAAACACAGCAGGGTCTGCGCCAGGCATGGTGCAGTGACAGCACCCCACTTCCCACCTGCCACACCGGGGGAATGAGCCTCCTGTGGTCCTAAACTGAGCTGAAGCAGCAGCAAGGGCTGGCAGCCTGCTAGGGATGGGGACCGATGCTCATGGGGACACCCCAGGAGCACCCTGACTCTGAACTCCCGCCTAGAGCGGTGCACTCACATCCCAGCACACGTGTGCCAAGCCCAGAGCACCTCCTCTCCTCCCTTCCCATCCCTCCAGATGCTCACCAAAGCCTCGACAGCACCCCAAGCCTGTCCCGACACCAGGACCCCCCCGTATTGACACCCAGACCCCATCGGTCAGCACCTACTTGTTTGGGTCAGCCCCTTTGAAGTACGCGTTGACAGTTTCCGTGAAGGCGGCGGCAACGGGCAGGGTGTCCTGCGCCCCCATGGTGAGGGGACTGGGTCCCCGCGATGAGCCTGCAACAGAGCAAAACCCTCCATTTCTTACGTGCAGAGAGAAATGGCACAGCTCCCCACCCAGGGATGGGGCGAGGGGGTGGTCACCAAGAGCCCCAGCCTAGCTTTATGGGCAAACCTTAAGAAAAAGTCCCCCAGGCTTTGGATGAGGCTTCAAAAACATTTTAAAATTATCTATCCCCCCCCCCCCAAAAAGCAAGCAAAGAAAATAATGGAGGAGCCCCAGCCACGAGCAGCATGCGGGGCAGTGGCACCCCCCCGGCACGGCTCCGGAGGGGCTGCCACATGGCAGGCTTTGCATGACAGTTTTTGCAGTAGGTTTCTGGGCCCCGGCAAGAGGGGCTGGGGAGGTTCGTTGTCCCATGGCCAGAGACCTCAGGCTGCCCGCAGGAAAGCGGGATGTCAGCAATCTCCCCTCAACACTGCCTGAACTCCTGCCTGTAGGAACCCCAACTTGCAGGGACCCCTGTGATTCCTGACACACTCCCCTCTCCTCCCCGGTGTGCCTGGCAAAACCCCCACACGGCTGCTCACCCTGCAAAGCCCGCGGGACGCTACGGCAAATCTGCAAATCGTCAGAAATCTGGAACTACTGCGGAGGAGAACGTGGGACTCTGGGTACAAAAGCTAAAGCAATCAGTCCATGGTTTATTTAGATGATTAAAAAGAAGAGGAAAATTTGCTTCAGTTGTGCTGTGCGTCCATGGACACCAGCCAGGCTCTAAAATAATTCCGCCCTGCATGGTCACATGCAGGTTTCACTTCGCTGGCCAGGTATACCTGTCTCCAAAAAACATTTGAGGATGAAAGCATCACTGCAAGCATATGCCAGAAGCCCCCAGCATGCTAGAAATCCTGCATGGGGGTCAATGTCCCGCTCCCCATATCTGCCACCGAGGGGAGAGCAAGCAGGGGCGGTTTGCATGGCAAAACTCTTGCCTCTCCCCTGGTGGAAAGTGCCGAAAGATCAGCCCAGTGTTAGTGTCTGGTCACCCACCCGATGCACAAGGCGCTGATCCCCCAGGCACCCGAAAAAGTCCTTGAGAGGTCACCATCCCTGCCCTGGCACCACCAATTCAGCCTTAACTATTTTTCTGCAATGCACTGGTTTGGAACCTTTTTTTAATATCATAGTCCGTACATCAGGCCTCTGGAGGGGCAGCTTACCCAGGGACCCCAACACCCCCTTACTCTGTTACCTTCATTTACAGGGTCTGAATCAGGCAGGTGAAAAGGGGGATTAATTCAGCCCAGGGTTTTGTTTAGAGTGTGCAAGCGTGGGCCAGCTTCAGCCGAAGCCCTACAAAATTAAATGCTGGCTTGGGGAAGGGCAGCACCTCCACAGGCAGTAGGGTGAGGGAAAACCAAAGCCACTGAGCGAAATGCAGCACGTTCCTGGTGAGCTCCTGCTTTTCTGCTTGGACTATCTTCAAACATAATCCCCTCCCTTCTTTGTCTGCTGCTTCCCACCACTGCCCCGCTGCCTATTGCTTTTTGCCTCGCATCTAAGCAATCTGCTGTGGGGTTTGGCAACGTCCAGTAAGGTCCTGGCTTGCTGCTGCAAATATTGTGCGAGTAAATAATAGGGTTTGGGTGCAGAAAATCAGGATTCATAACATCTCCTGGGGAAAGCACTTCTGTCACTTAAATTACGCTTTGAGTTTTGACATATTAGTTGCAAAAAAATGTGGCATTCACAGATGAAGATTCCTCGCGCCTTACAGATGCATCCACGCAGGCAGTGCATTAATGTATAAAACCAAAGTTGCTCTCTCCTGGAGGCACAGATGAGCCTCTCTGGTGCTGGGATTTTCCCTTTGAACATCTAATGTAACCTAAAAGGGTGTAAAAAATTAATGTAGCCACGCATCTCCCTCTTGGTCATACATCTTAAGAGACTCAGGGGAATAAGTGCGTTTCAGCCACAGCCCGGAATAACGATGCTCGGTAAGTGCAGCGCGTCCAGCTGTCCCAGCACACGGGATGGGCAGACCAAGCATCTCGCCCACGCACAACCAAATCATTGCCACGCACACATTAATTATCCTAATGACACCAGGGAGGCACCGTGCGGCACCCCAAGCATCCTGCTTCTGAGGACACAGCCCCGAGCTATGCATCAGGGACTTGGCAAACATCCCTTCAAGGAGCAGACACTTCATGTCAGTGCCAGCCACGCGTGAAGGCATGGGCAGCTCCCCAAAACCACAGAATACGCAGGTTATCACAGCCTCGCTGCAATACCTGGCTATATGGCAGAAGGGGCATGCAGGGCCACAGGGCAGCACCATGGACTGGGAGGGTAGCATATTTTGTATAAATTCTTTCCATAGATACCACTGCTGGGTTATCAGAGAGTGCGGAGAGCGCATCTTCGCTCCCCACACCCAGAGCAATGACCCCCCCAGCGTGTTGAAGCCAGCCAAACGTGGCAGGATGTTCTTGTCACATTCACCCAGAAACGCAGAGGAGATTCAAAAACATCAATGCAGACCGGTTATAGAGGGGTGAAAACTGGAGGTAACACCCAGCAGAGGAACATGAGGCTTATCTCAGCAGGCAAGGCGAGAGGAAGATCTTTAGCCATCCAGCAGCAGCAAAGCCCGTGATCCTTGGCAATATAATCATTATTCTTTAGAAGAGAAGAAAAAAAAAAATCCCCTCCCAACCATACACACTTCGACTGCAGCTGGGTTTAGCCTAGACCCTGCACCAGAGCATCAGACCAGGGGCAGACAACTCTCACACCAGCGTGCCTTTTCCCTGATTTTCCATCTCTCATTTCTCCCACAGTTTCTCTGTAGGTATATCAGATTTCTTCATTCTCCAGAATGAAAAATCATATGTGCAAGAATAAACCATCTAGGCTCATGTATCTCTATTACCAGGCTCAGGTGGACTTTGAAAATCTGAGTTCATCTGAACAGGACCAGCGACAAAACATCCTCCACATTTCTAATCTGACTTCGAATAGAAATCATGTGGATGTAATTCTCATTCAGGGTTCTCGGTTCCCTCCACTCTTCCTTCATGAACCTATGTATTCTCTTAATGGCTTCAGAGACTAAACAAATTTTTAAATAAAAACTTTAATGCAAAAAGAAAAGCCTAATCTATTTTAAGACCTCGAATTCTTTTCCAGAAACTTGAGAGACAAGTCTAGTTACTGTGGCACGCCTCCACCGAAAATCTGGCTTTCCAGTGACTGCTTCAGAAGTAATTTTTAGAAACTTTTCATTTCAGCAAAATGACCTTATGACACTGGAGGAAAAAAAAAAAATCCACTTTATGGAGCTTTAGATCCAGCCATAAGCAGCGCACCAGGCTCGTTTGCCTTATTTTTCCCTAAACAGAG